AAGGGTAACTGATGTGAAACAGCAATCTGTATACGGGGTAAAGTTGGGAGTTCATAACCCACTTGAATCAAACTGTGAAAGATGATGTATTAAGAACTGTGTAATGTTTTGAACGACCAACAATAAAAAAAAAAAAAAAACAAAAACATAAGTTTGATGGCAGCCAGAAGCTTTCTGGGAAATGAATGAGGAAAGAGGATAAATACCAACAGGCAATTAAGAACTGGTGTAAATCCTTTTATACTACGATGATCATAATAAACACGGCTGTAGTTTGGGTGGATTTGCAGACGATCATCTCAATTGCCTGCATGGGATTATGGAAGTGTGTCTAGGGTGATGACCACTGTGCAGTGATGGGACTGGTCCCTTTGGACAAGGCTCTAACAACCACTATTGCACTGAAATGTCTTGCTTTCCTTTTCTTAGGCTTCACCTCTGTTGTCCAGGTCAAAGCAGAGTATACCTGCATATATACTTCAAAGAAAGCATAGATGCTAGATCATAGAAAATACAAAGTAAAAGTATGTACCAAAAACTATATTAGAATTGATTTTTAAAATATGTGTCTTTATGTTTCAGTCATTCAAATAAAGTCACACTGCGACTGGAGAAGATATTTGAACCCCTCAATCTGTAATTTATATTGAGCTATTTTAATTGAAAATACTTGATACTGGTAGCTCTAATGAACAGTTCTAATTGGCAGCCATAAAAGCAGCTCCCTATAAACAACAACAACAACAAAATTTAAGCAAACTAGTGAAAATGAATCCTCTAAGGACCATCGTCTGTAGGTGAGTCTAAGAGGGTGTTCTGGGTGAACACTTGGTGGTCAGAAAACACCATGTGGCTGCAGCCTTCAGTTCAGGGAACTGGGGACTGGTCAGAAGTATTGTCTATAAAAGATGCTACTTGGAAAGCCAAGGTGTGGGTAGAAAAGGAAAGGTGCATAAGAGGAAGACTGTGAAGTCTAAGGAGGTAGGTGGCAGCCATCGCATATAGCAATCCTTGCCTTAAAGACAGGACACATGGCTTCAGTTTCTACAGTAAAGGCACAGAATAGGTCTCTGTCCTTCCGGCAATAATATTGTTGTGTCCCAAATTTTTAAATTGTGGAATTCTTCAGGAAAAAAAGAATCAAAAAGAAAACCAAAACAAAACAGATTTTAAAAAGTTTTACTACAGAAGTCATACTTTATAGGCCAGGAAGTTATTCTCTTGGCCAAGAGAAGTAGGGGTGAATTTAGGTAAAGGAGGGAGAGGATGAGTAGAAGAGAAACTGGCTCTCAACACAACTTTTAAAAATGTATCCACCACCCAAAATCCCATAAACAGTCTCTGGCTTTAAAAAAGATTTCAACAAACACAACTCTTCATTTAATCATCCCATCATGTAGAAAGCTACTTATTTTTGAAAGACCTTTGTAATAGTTTAGCATTCTTACCACAAATACAAAATACAGAGCTCTGTTCATTTCAGAAAAACTTTGTGAGTCAGTAAACAAAAATGTTGTCTAAAGGAAAGAAGTTAGAAGAACACCTAAATTAGAAGATATATTACCATCACTAAGGATATAACTATCTTCCTACTCAGTACTGCACAGCAATCAACTAAAATGCAGAAGTTCACTGTGACCTGTAAGGGAAGTGATTCATTAAAAATAAGAATCATATGCAACAAAAAGACCAAACGGCTTAAACATAATTCTTACAAGAACACAGCCACTGAAGCAGATAGGAACAAACTGCCCATTAACAAACTCTATGTCATGACATGTCAAAGCCATATTTCTGAACTCTGATATCCCACCCTAGGGTTTTATTAAATCTTAAAAGTTTCTCAGTGTTATCCCATGTATTTAAAGGGGCTGTGTACCAGAAATGAAAAAAAGAGGATCAAACATAAATGAATGAGGGAAGGGACGAAGGTGAGGGAAGGAAAGAAGGTAAGGAAGGAGACATGGGCTCCATTTTTAGTAGTTGCATGATATTCTCTTCTTAGTTACAGAAGAATCCAACCATGAGCAGTCAAAATGATCACTCTCGGGAGGACTCTCATTTTCAACAGACCACAAGTACTCTCCACTTTATTCCAGAAATTTAATATGGTCCTAGCAATTTGAATCTAATCCTACAAATTAGATATCTTCTTCCTAGTTTATAGGAGTTGGATTTTTCACTCCTCAGACTCCTGCCACTGACTCTGTGGCAGAAGAACATTAGAACTGTGGCCTATCACAGTGCACAGTCCATTTCTTTCTAAAAAGCCTCTGTGCAGATCCACTTATGAAATCAGTGACCACTGCTCTATGTCTCAGTTTGTGATGGCTATCTCAGGACACCGCTAGATTTGAATGAATCTATCATGTAAACCTGAAGTACAATAAGTTTTATTTTTAATCCTAGAATTGTCCTTCAAAAATATATTGCATCATATGTTAGTCCTTACAAGCCATCTCAGATTATGAAATTCTAAATGAATTTTAAATGAATTATTTTGGATGGCAATATGTTGTTTGGAGAAGACTAACTGAAACAACTTCAATTAGTGTTAGTGTAGGATGTTATTGGAAATATTATCTGATGTAAAAAGAGAGGCAAGAAAATTTAAAATGTATTTAATTATTCCTGGGGTATGAACTCATGCAGGGTTTCAAGTACTAGAAACCACTGAGAATAAGCCTTTAAATGTTACTTTAAGAGGAAAATTCAGGTGAACAAGAAGCACCAATTACGCTGAAAAAAGAAACATAATTTAGGGATAGTTATTCTACCAGGTATCAACATATATGGAACTACAGCACTTCAGATACTGTGGTAATGGTTCAGGGATAGAGAAGTAAGTAAAAGAACAAATATAGGAATTTGGTGTACAACAGAAGTGGTATTACAAATTTCATTGGAATTTTTAACTTGAGTATTATTAGAAAAATGTGACAATTTATATTTATAATTTAGTCTAAAAATAAAAATAATTAAAAATCATTAACATACAATTTGGTAGTTCTGTATGTGTGTATTTATAAACAAACCTACACTGTGGGTTGGAGGCTTCAAACATTTTTATTAATCTAGGTGGTGTACTTTTAAAAAAAAGTTTGGGACCATTGTGTCAATAAATATGCTATGGTAACAGGTTATGCATATGGAAAATGAAGTTATATTCCTATCTCTTAATACAAAAATTATTTGTAAGTAGGATAAGGAAATGAATGTGAAAAACTCAGATTATTCTGAAATATTATTTATATTATTTCTGGGCAGAGAAGAGCATAAAGGGAGAACATTGATTATCTAAGTGGGATTTAATGTGTGATTATTTAATTTTTTAAAAAAGATACCATAAACAACAACATAAAAAGACATGATATAGACTGCATATTATAAAGTATTATTAATGCATCATATGTAGGAAAATTTCATGAATCTAGAAAAAAAAGACAACCCATCCATATGCTTCATTCAGACACTCAAGTGTGAAGAGTCAACATCAATAATCAAGACAGAAAAAAATAAAGCAAGAATAAAGATAAATAAGAAAATTAGGAATTTCTGACCCAAAGTGTTAAAGCATAAATATGTTATTAAGGAAAACATGAATTTTACCTCCAAGGACCATGCCAGCCTGGCAGCACTTTCTAAGGCGACATGCTGGACAATTTTTTCTGCGGATTTTGTCAACAATGCAGTCATTTCTTCCAGCACATAAATAGTTATGCTGTCCTACAAGTGAAAAAGTAAAAATTATTTGCAATATCTAAGATCATTGAAAATTATATTCAAAAATGACTGAACAGAGGATCAACACACAATAGCAAGTCCATGACTCTAAGCCAATCTCTTGCTTGGCATCACTGAATGTTGGTCATGCTCAAACCTGCTCAACACTCTACCTGTGACTTCAGGGGCCTAAATGAGGTAATGAGAAGTAGTAAATAAATTCAAACACATTTCAAATATAAAAGAGGATATTATAGTTACCGAGTAGGATGCAATTCTTAAAAGCCATAAGGGATTAAAAAATTTAGCAGTTCAACATTTGAAGTGTGAGTAGGAAGGAAAATTTCTGATATTGAGAGCACTGGCACGAAGTCACTTCTTTGAAGGGTTGGCACAATTCCTATCATTGGGAACTGCCCATAACAGCTGGAATGACTGCAGGAAACCTGGAAGTTCAGTCCATTATAAGTTATGACCATCTTTAACACAAAGAGTTGGTCCACTGGAACTATAAACTAGACCCCATGCAAGCAAAATGTAAGGGGTATAGTTAGTGTTTAATCTTCTTTATGCAATTTTTTTTGGTTAAAAAAATTCTACAGCCAGGAAATTCCATCCATAGCTGACTGAGATAATTTGGCATAGATTCTAAGTACTGCCTCTGTACCACAAAGGACTCAGTCACCAAGAATGAAAGAGAAACATAAGGGCCACTCCATTACATGTGTCATTGCGTCAGGATGATTGATATTCAAGTGAAGGCAATTTATGCACAGATGCATTGACTTTTTGACATTATCCTAGAAATCTGTAAAATGTTAAACTTTGGGGTTATAAATCCAGCATAATGTCTATTTCTACCTTTTTTTCTTCAGATAACAGTTCCCAACTTATTTTCTGGTTTTGAAGAATACATCCATACCCAGGTCCTCTTGCTTAGTCCTTATTAATTGCACATTATTGCTTCCCTTCAGTCCATCATAACAACGTGACTTTACAATTCTACTTGTATCGTAAGTCACTCTATTAAACCACTTGAGCAATTCATTTGCTAGCATCCTTGTTCTCTACCTACACTGTCATTATCAGGAGTTGTAAAGTATCCAGGAGTATTTATCAGCTTTAAGCTACTATAAGTAGGATGGATGGCACAGGATGAAAAATAGGAGAGTTCACTCAAATATGAGATAGTGTCCAGCTCTTGCCTTTAATGTTTGTATATCTGTCCCTGTCAAAACCTGAAGAACTATTCACTGAACTCTATAATGGAGCACAATGCTTTCTCTTTCTCCTTGGGACACCTATTGTCTGTTTTAGGGTGGAAAAAGATGGGGTGAGTATTATTCTGCCTTTTAAGTTACTTACTCTCTTTTATGTTCTTTACACTCTATCTGCACTAATATCATTGTATTACCCCAATATTTCTTACTGTCTTTGACTGTGCTCCCTTTTTCTCTATTAATATGGTTTGCAAAACCTTACTTATCTTTCAAGTCTCCATTTAACTGCTCCCGTCTCGTTTAACCTGACAGTTTCCAGAAAGGCTTACACATTTTTCTGGGTGCCAAATGCATGTTCAGTGTATTCCCATTATAAATGCTGTATGCCTGTCTTTTCTTAGTTCTGTAAAAGGAGAAACTAGCCTTTGATCCTTTAACTCTTATATCTAATAAGGGTTTGATAAACATTTCTTGGATAAATGTATACATATTATACTTATTGTTTCATGTATAGTCAAAATATACAAAATAGTATAAGACCTATAATATTAAACTTATTGTCATGTACAGTAAATTTTAAAAATCACTTGTTCCTGTTTTTTCTTCTTTTCCTTGGTGCATTGTAATTATGCATAATAGTGGAATTCATTATGCCATGTACATAATTTAATCAATCTCATTCCCACTAGCTTGCCTTTCCCTCCCCTCCTCCTTCCTCTGATCCACTTGCTCTATTGATCTCTATTTTATTATTATTTATTAGTACATTATGTATAATATGCTATATATATTGCATTGTGGCATATTCATGCATGGACATACATTTGGTAAATTTTGTTCCTCAGTAATTCCCTATGTTCCCCTCCCTCCCCATTTTTCTACTCTATTGGTCTCCTATTTTTGTGAGATTCTCTACTTTGCAATTGATTTTACTTGTTTTCTCTCTCTCTAGTTTCCACATGAGAGGAAAATTTAGTGCTTACTTTTTGAGTCTGGCTTGTTTCATATAGTGTGTTTTCCAGTTCTATTCATAACTAGTAAGTAACATAATTACATTCTTGGTGGCTGAGTAAAACTCCATCATGACTACACACCACATTTCCTTTATCCAATTGTCTGTTGTCAGATACCTAGGCTGGTTCCATAACTTGCTCTTGTGAACTGTGCTGCTATAAACATTGGTATGCATTTGCACATATCACTATAGTATGATGATGATTTTAGTTGTTTTGGATAAATACCTAGCAGTAAGATAGCTGAGTCATATGGTAGTGCCTTTCTTAGGGTTTTGAGGAATCCCCATACTGCTTTTTGAAGTGGTTGTACCAATTTACAATTCCTCTAACAATGTATGAGTGTATTTTTCCCCACATCCTCATCAGTAGTTATTGTTATTAGTATTCTTAATGATTGTCATTCTAATTGGAGTAAAATGAAACCTCAGTATAGTTTTGATTGTATTTCCTTGATTGGTAAGGGAATATTTATTGGCCATTTTTATTTCTTATTTGTACCAATGTCTGTTTAAATCGTTTGCCTATTTATTGATTAGGTTATTTGGTTTTCTTGGGTTTTTTTTTAAGTTCTTTATATATTCTATGTTACTCCCCCATCAGAAGAATAGTTGGTGAAGATTTTCACTCATTCTGTAGGCTTTCTCTTCATGCTCTTAATTGCTTCCTTTGCTCTGAAGAAGCTTTTTAATTTGATGCAATCCACTTATTGATTCTTAGTTTTATTTCTTGAGCTTGAAGTATGTTATTAAGGAAATTGGTACTTGTGCCAATGTAGAAGTGTTGACACTGTATTTTCTTCTTGCAATTGTAGTGTTTCTGGTCCAATTCTTAGGTCTGTGACCCACTTTGATTTGATGTTTGTGTAGGGTGACAGATAGGGGTCTAGCTTTATGTTTTTTACATGTGGATATGCAGCTTCCCATCATCATTTGTTAAAAAGACTATTATTTCCTCCAATGTATGTCTTTGGTACCTTGGTCAAGATCAGATGACCATACCTATATGGATTTGTCTTTGTGACCTCTATTCTATTCATTGGTCTTCATGTCTATTTTTATGCCATTACCATATTTTATTACTATAGTTCTAGGATAATTTGAGATCAGGTATTGTGATCCATCCATCATCATTCTTACTGCTCAGGATGACTTTGACAACTCTGAGTCTGTTATTCTTCCATATGAATTTTAAGACTTTTTTTCTAGCTCTTTGAAGAATGACATTATTAATTTGACGGGAGTTACACAGTCTGTAGATTTTTCTCTATTACAATGATTAACACATTACTTGTACAAATTGATGGGTTTTATGCTGATTTTACACACAAAGATATATCATGCCTTGTATTTTCCCTTCTACTTTTTCTCCCCCTTTCCTCTCCAACCCCTTCTCTTTCCCTAATAGTCCCTTTTCTCCTCTTCTACATTTCTACTTCCAGTTTTTTGTTTGTTTATTTCTTTATATGAGAGAAAAATATGTAATGTCTTCCAGTTTCATGCATTTTCCTACAAATGACATAATTTCAGTCTTCTTTATGGCTGAGTACTACTCCCTTTTGTACATATACCATGTTTTCTTTATCCATTCATCTGTTGATGGGCACCTAAGCTGTTCTATATCTTGGCTATTATAAACAGTGCCACAATAAAGACAAATATGCAGGTATCACTTATGTATGCTGATTTAATTTCCTTCAGATAAATACCCAAGAGTAGAATAGTTAGATAATATGGAAGTTCTATTTGTAACTTTATGAGGAATCTCCAAACTTATTACCACAGTACTTGTGCTAATTTATGTTCCTATCAACAATGTATAAAGTTTCCTTTTCTAAAATCTCCTTGCCATCATTTGTTATTTATTTTTGAAAATAGCCATTCTCACTATGATAAGATGGAATCTTAATGTAACTTTGATTTATATTTCTTCAGTGGCTAAAGATATTGAGCATTTTTTCACACACTTATTGTTCATTTGTACTTCTTTTGAGAAGTGTCTGTTCAAATCACTCACCCTTTTGTTGCTAAACTTTTTAAAAGTTTTTTCTTTATATATTCTGAATATTAATTTTTTGTCAGATGAATAGGTGGCAAAGATTTTCTCCTATTTTTAAAGTTACCTTTTTATTCTGCTGATGGTTTCTTTTACTGTGCAGATGCTTTTGAATTTGATGTGATCCCATTTGTCAATTCTTGTTTTCTGAGGTATTGGAGTCCGATTCAGGAAATGATTGCTTATGCAAATATTTTGAAGTATTTTCCCAATGTTATCTTCTAGTCATTTCAAAGTGTCTGATGTTACATCAAGGTATTTGATCAATTTTGAGTTGACTTTTGTACCAAGTGATAAATGGAGGTAAGTTTCAGTCTTCTACATGAGGATATCCAGTTTTCCCCAGTACTATTTGGGGAAGAGGCTGCCTTTTCTCCAAGGTGTGTTTTTGGTACCTTTGAAGAGAATCAATTGGCTGTAAAAGTGTAGGTTTATTTTCTGGGACTTCTATTCTAGTCCATTAGTCTAGTGTGTCTGTTTTTATGCCCAAACTGTGCTATTTTGGTTATTTATGGCTTTGTAATATATTTCAAAATCAGGTATCGTGATACCTCCATTATTACTCTTTTCTAAAGGTTGCTTTGGCTATTCTGGGTCCTTTGTGTTCCCATCTGAATTTAAGAATCATTTTTTTTATTTCTACAAAAAAGTATCATTGGTATTTTGATGGAAATTGCATTGAATGTGTAGATCACTTCCAGGGGTATAGCCATTT